TCACGAAGAGCAAACAAAAAGGCTCACAATCGGACCAATAGACAACATCACGAAAAATGGGAGAAAGGATTGAAGGTGTTAAGGTTCCATTTTACTTGGAGTCACAACCAGCACTTATGAAAGCAGTGGTCAAGGAATAGAATGACAATGTATTTCATTGGGAAAATCTGTTGTCAAAGATGCATTTAAAGTGTTAAAAAGCAAAGTTGCCCCTTTGACGACGGAGATGCGCCCAACCCAACCCGTGGCCTTTTCCACCGAGGTGTATGCATGTGAAACCTGGATAATGAATACAGAAACCACGGGAGAATTGATGCATTTGAATTCTGGGATCAGTCAAAACTATTGAATGTACCGTAGATCACCAAAGAACGAACCAATCTATCTTGGAAGAAGTACAATCTGAATGCTCCTTAGAAGCGAAGATGGGGAGTTTGGCTTATGTGCGTTGGGCATGCTACCCAGAGGGGCCGGTGTCTGGAAAAGGACATCTTCCTTGGTAAAGTGGAGGGTGAGGGAAACAGAGGAAGCCTTAGTGAGGTGGGCGCACACAGTGACGACAGTAATGGGCTTGTGAAGATGGTGAAGGTGGCATAGGACAGGGCAGCATTTTGTTTTGTTTCACATAGGGTTGCTATGAGTTAGAACCAACTCCCTGGAACTGAACAACAACAGGTATCCCTAAATAATACAGTCCCGTATGCCTTTTTTGAACTTTATTTGAGTGGAATAATGTTATATGTCTTTTTTATTCAATATGATATCTGAGATTCACTCCTGAGATTTCCTGTGACTGTAGTTTGTTCATTTTCACTGGTGGATATACTTCTCTGTATTGCTATATCACAATCCCCGCCCCCTTGTTACCATAGATGAATATTTGAGCTATTTTATGTTTTGGGTATTATCACGTGCTACCATGACCATTAGAAAACATTGTTAGGGGGATGATGTATATGAATCTCTCTAGGATGAATGTAGGCATATCTTTAACTTTACAACATAATTCCAAAACTTTTTCTAAAATGAAAGTTTCTGCATTCTTGCCAAGCCTGAAAAAAATTGGACTTCTTAATGTTTGCCATTCTGATATGTGTTTAATGATATTTTTAAATGCAGTTTTAATTTGTATAATTACTACTGATGTTGAGAACCTTAGACATTGCATTTTATTTTTTGTGAAATTCCTCTTCAGTATTTTACCCATTTACTTAGCAAGTTGATTAAAAACACAAAAAAGGTATAGTATACAAGCCTTTGCTGTTTGTGTGTGTGGGTTGTCTTTTCTCTCACTTGTGGGACCTCTGATGAATCAAAGTGTTTAATTTGAATGCAGGTGTATTTATCAATCTTTTTTGTGCATATCTACTGATTTTTTTTTTGTATCTTGATTTTTAACATTCATCACTGGTGAGATGTCATCTTGCTTCCTTTGGAACACCTCGTCCAGAAATACTAATTCATGGAGAAGGACTTCATGTCTGGTAAAATAGACGGTCAGCCAAAATGAGGGGAAACCTGCGGGGAGATGGAGGCATGCAACAGCTGCTATATGTGCTCACACATATGAAGGCGCATGAGGAGGACCCAGGACTGGGCAACGTTTCCCTCTGCTGTACAGAAGGTTTCCATCTGTCAGAGAGGACTTGTTGGCCACAAATGATCACCATCACCTCAATACGTTGTCTTAGACAATTTAAAAATATGTATAACTTTGCCTTTCATGTTTAGTACGTCAATGGACTCAGAATTGATTTTTGCTTACGGTAGACAAGGATGAAATTTTGCTAATTTTCTATATAGATAGCTAATTACTCTAGCACTTGTGGAAGTTACATGATCGCCATCACAGCTTGATGACATCATTTGGAGGCACGATGGAGATAAATAGCTCACTGGAGGCCAGACACACTCTCTGCTTGTCTGTCTGCGAGACTTTCCTGTTGACAAGCCACAAGGAGCCACACTGATGGAGCCAGAGCCCTGGAGCTGGAGGAGCCACGTGGAGACCCATGCCAGCACTGAGATGCTTCCACCACCACTGGATCCACAAGATTTCCCACCCACTAGACAGTGAACTTCCTGCATTTGTCATCATTTCATTTGTTGTGTGAGTCTGAAGAGGCATTTATAGACTGGTATCGGACATATGGGCTAATATCAGACTTATGGACTTGATCTGGACTAGGCTGGGATGTTTTCTCAATATACAATTACTCTGATTCAAAAGTTCTCTATTACACACATGTGAGTCTCCCTGGATTTGTTTCTCTAGTCTACCCAAACTAACACAGCACTATTTATTGAAAAGTGTATTCTGATCTCATTAGTTGGCCACTTCAGTCAGATAACAAATATCCATTAATGTATTTGAGAATCATTTATAAATTTTTACTTTTTCCATTGACATAATTATCTGTCTCTTATGTCAGTAATAAAAGTCTTAATTATATAATGATGTAACAAGTTGATATTGTTATATAATTTTTTTTCTTCCTTAAGAGTATCTTGAGATTTATTAGCCCATTTAATTTCTGGAGTCAATGTCTCAAGTTCAGACAGATAATTTGGAGCTTTGATTAACATAAGTACTGAATATCTCAATTAATTTGGGAAGAGTTGGCATCTACATAATAGTCTACCAACCAGTAAAAGGGGTTTTGCTCTATATTTATTTAGGTCTTTTTGATGTTTCTCAACAGATCATTGTTACATATTTTTATTTAAGTACTCTTGATTATTTTAATTTTATTGATTATTTAATTATTGAGAATTTAATTAAGTATTGTATTGATCCTTTAACTTCTGTAATTATTTACAGCCCCCTGCCACACACACATTCCATATACTAGTAAAAAGTATATACCTGGAACAAACGCAAATACTATATATCTAAGACCTCCCAGGTAGGATAGCATTGAAATAATACAATGTGTGATAAAGTGAGTTCCAGTAAGACAAGTCATTAATGACTGTGTGTGTGTGTGTTAACGTTTTCCTGATGATAGGAATGGACAATTTGATGCCAGTTGGTATCAGCAGGTCAGGTGACTGCATGCACTCTGGAGCATTATTTGCATTTGTAGTTGTTGCCTTGCTTCATTGCGCACGTTTGTGAAAATCCCAAGAAAAGATACTGATTTGGCCAGAGACCTTGTTCTGTCTCTGCCCTGATAGCACCCAGCTCCTTCAGGTGGAGCCCAGAGCCTCATCTCAGATGATTTTACAAAGCATGGCTGGGTGGGATCCCTTTCTATAAACACTTTTCCTTTAGCCTTAGTTTTGTGTAGTTTATTTATTTTTAAGGCCAGGAAGATACTTGAATTTAATTGAAATCCAATTTCCCCAAGACTTCTGTACTTATAAAAATCTTCCTCCTTTAGATATAATTAATTTTTTCCCCTGAACACAACCACACAAATAATCTTACCCAGAAGGACACTTGTGTTGTCTTATCATCCTCTGCAACGCTGCCTGCACCTCCTGGTTCTTGAGGCTGTAGATGAGGGGGTTCAGCAAGGACGTGATCACACTGTACTGAATGGAGACCACTTGCTCCAGAATGGAGCCTGAAGGGGGGATTAGGTACCTGAAAAAGGTTGTTCCGTAGAACAAAAGCACTATTGTGAGGTGGGAGGAACAGGTGGAGAAGGCTTTGCCTTGGCCCTCCGAGGAGCGGATTCTCAGGATGGCAGAGATGATTCTGGAGTAAGAGAAGAGGATCAGGGGAAGGGTCAGCAGCCCCATACATGCACATGACACAGCGAGAAGAATCACATTGGCAGTGGGATCAGTGCAGGACAATGGGAAGAGTGGAGGCAGCTCGCAACTGAAGTGAGAAATGATGTTGGATCCACAGAAATGTAAGTTCTGTATGAAGAGACTGTTTATCAAGGAGACCAGAAACCCTACGACCCAAGCTATGCTCACAATTACGGTGCAGAGAGACCTGCTCATGACCACGTTGTAGACCAGCGGGTGGCAGATGGCGGCGTAGCGATCATAGGCCATGGCAGAAAGAAGGCAGGCTTCAGTCCCCCCAGAGAGAGTGAAAAAGAAACTCTGGGTGATGCAGCCCCACACGGAGATGCTTTTCTTCCGAGACAAGAAGTTCTGTAGCATCTTGGGTACCGTGACTGAGGAGAAGCTGAGATCCAGGAAGGACAGATGTCCAAGGAAGAAGTACATTGGGGTGTGGAGGTGAGAATCAACTCTGATCAGCAGAATCATCACCAGGTTCCCCATCAAGGTCAGGAGGTAGATCCCCAGAAACAGCATGAAGAGCAGAGCCTGGATCTGAGGGTCCCCGGACAATCCCAGGAGGACAAACTCAGTAAAAATGCTGACATTTTTCATTTTTGTTTAGAGACTTTGCACCTCAAGCGAAACAGATGATTCTCCATTGGGTGGGACATTGACGGAGTCATTTTCCGTGAACAAGCGTTTCATATTCACAGACAGTATACTTTTTTACCTATAGACCCAAAAAGGAAACTTAAAATAAGAACCTGTTTTCTCAGCTATAATCTCTTCACTTGCCCTTTGTTTACCTTCTGGCATTGTTCTGTCAGGCTCTCGATCCCAATCATTACACTCAGTGTGTACAA